GCTGGCTGAATAGATGAGCTTTTCCCCACTGCCACCAAACTATGGCAGCATAAAGATATTATGACGATTAGCTCCCCTTCATGATCTCATGGCATTGCTTTGTGCCTCGGCAATCTGTGAAGCAGCTTAAGTTATCCTTTGCTGTTTTGGTATAAGTGTAGTATTTCCCCATGACGCTGGCTTAGAGCCATAGAGCAGCTTCAGTGACCTTGAAGGAAAATCAGGGAACTACAGGGACCCCCCAAAAGAGGGATTGACAATAAGGAGTGACACATTCCATACCTACGTAATTTTCCATTGACTCGAGGATGGTTGGATGGTGGTACAATTCATCCATTGTCTTTGTTATACACGTAGTCCTCAATGTACGACCACAACTGAGCCCCAAATTTATGTTGCTAAGTGAGGCAGTTATTAAGGAAATTTTGCCCCGCTTTACGACCTTTCTTGCCACTGTTAAGTGAATCCCGGTAGTTGTTAATGACACGATTGTTAAATGAATCTGGCTTCCCCATTGATTTCGCTTGTCAGAAGGTCACCAGAGGTGATCACATGACCCTGGGACACTGCAATTGTCGTAAATATGAGTCGGTCGCCAAGCATCTGAATTTTGATCACGTGACCATGGGGATGCTGCAACAGTCGCGTGAAAAATGGGCATCTTTTTCAGCATCATTGTAACTTCAGTCAGTAAATGAATGGTTGTAAGCGGAGGATTACCTATATGTTGCCTCTTTATAAGTTGATGTCATGCTCATATTCAAAATAAATGCATTTATTCGGTACATACTTGCATTCGAAATACACAATTAATTGGATTCATCGTTCATTTGGTTGAGAGGATTCTGTAATGATGGTGATGACGTTAGTGGAGCAACTAAGTCTATTTTTTTAACTCCTTGGGCAGAGTGGGCTATCTGTACTTTCCTTGTTCTGTTTTTTTATTCATAACTGATGGCTGTGAAGGAATGCTCCGTGTGGAGAACACTCTTGAATAGAAGTGATGCACACCTTTTATTATTATTCATGCAATACACTCCAGGTTGTTTTCATACTGCTAAATAGTTGTTTAGTCAACACAAACTGCAGAAAAATCTGACTAAAGTGAGAAGGAAGCAAATTTGCTACGGGCTGGGGGAATACGGTTCCTAGACTTTGAGGGCTAACTAAGTAGAAGAGAATAATGTAAGCAATTCAAGTTTATTTTGGTTCTGGAGCTATAGCAAGTAGCTAAATTCATACATGTGCAAAAGTCCAAATGTATCTGGTTTTGACTTGTAACTTGCTAAAGCATGGACTGGCATGCAAATGAACCAAGCTTTGCCTTGGATCTCCTAATGAATGTGCTGGATTTCAGTGATGATACTCCAAATTAACTAATTTTTATTATTAAGCAAAGAATAGAAACAAACGCTTCCAATCTTTGCTGCCATGAGAGACGAGAGAAGGCATATGTAAGCCTAAGCTTGTTCTTGCTATGATAAACCATAGTTTATTGTTATAGCCAAACGCATCTATAAGCTTAGTTAGAACATTAAAAAGTAAATAAGAGTATAACCAGCTTATTTTTGTATTTTTAAATGCATATATATATTTATGAAATTACACTTAAGTCTCCCTTTCCCACAGAAGAATTGTGATGTAGAATATGGGTCAGGGAGAGGTGTGTACAGGATGTGTATGCAATAAAGGTAAGCTATTTAGGTGCACATATAATAGTATAAACAATAATAATTATACCAGTTTCCTGTCTTCCCTTTGTTTTTCATGACTTCCTATTTTCTTTTTCTTCTTACTTTTACCTATTACTCATAGCCAGTTTTGTAGTGATTAAAGTGCTGGCCTAGTAAACAAGAGTCTGTGAGTTCTAGTTCGGCCTTAGGCATGAAAACCAACTGGGTGACCTTGGGCTAGACACTCTTTCTTAGCCCAACTCATATCATAGGGTTTTGTCAGGAACGTGAGGAGGAAAGAGTATTAGATATGTTCGCTGCCTTGTTTATAAAAATTAATAGATGTAATCCTCGACTTACGACCACAACTGAGCCCAAAATTTCTGCTACTAAATGAGATAGTTGTTAAGTAAATTTGCCTCATTTTGCGACCTTTCTTGCCACAGTTGTTAAGTGAATCACTGTAGTTATGTTAGTAACACAGTTGTTAAGTGAATCTGGCTTCTCCATTGACTTTGCTTGTCAGAAGGTCTCAAAAGGGATCACATGACCCCGGGACACTGCAACCGTCATAAATATGAGCCACTTCCCAAGCATTCAAATCTGATCACATGACCCTGGGGATGCTGCAATGGTTATATGAAAAATGGTCCCAAGTTACTTTTTTCAATGCCGTTGTAACTGAACGGTCACTAAACAAATGACTGTTAAGTCGAGGTATACCTGTAAAGACAAGATATAAATAAATGAAAATAAATGAATTTCTCCTAGGACAAAATAGGCAATCGTTTTAGGCCAAGGGTCATAATTGGAAGGTGAACGTATGCTGCAAGAGACTCTCATAAAATGGCTGCCACGGGGAAAAGAATCTGCATTGTTACAGAATTCTGGCAACAAAAACACTCGATGGAAAAGTGCACTTTGTATGTGGATTCAAAGTTCAATCCCCAGGATCTTCAGGAAGGGAAAATATCTACTGAAAGCTTGCAGCACTGTTACTACTCAGCACTGAAAATGCTGGCAATATGGACTAATAATCTAGATTCTGTAAAGATAGCATGTTGTGTTCCTATGTGCTGGAGCAAGCTGACATAGGAACATGCCGCACTGTCTCCAAGCTCATGCGAGCAACGATGTATGTAACTCTCAAGACATGCAGTAGATTAGCTCTTCCTCCTTTCTTTTAATTCAACTGGGTGGCAAAGAACCAAATCTTTACAGAAGAAAACATTACCAACTTGTCTTCGTGACAGAACATTGAGTAGGTATAAAATCGCAATGGTCTCTATGCCAGGTTTTGTTTTGTTTTGTTTTTTTAAAAAAATCTTCCCTGCTTCTAAGATAAAAGCTTAATTTGATATTTTTGTAGTTATATAACAGTAATATTTTGTGACATTTTGTATTGTGACACTATAGATGAAATTGTCATCGGACTGACACCCTTTACTGTTTATTACTTAATTAGAACTGTTAACAACACTGCAGAGAAGCGTGCTAATCTGCCATCACATATTATGAAAACAACGTTATTGTTACAAACACCAACACCCACTCAACAGGATAGTTCTAAGATGGCAGTTTCTGTTAAAAAAAAAAAAGAAAGAGAGAGAGAGAGAGAGAGAGAAAACCTGATTTGTTTAATGGACACTTTAGCAGTGAAGAAAAAGAAGTTGATAGCAACTTCTAGCAATTATCTTTCAAAATGAAAATATTTGGTGTAATAGCAGTTTAATGGGGATTTTTGGTTAACACGTTTTAGAATTGAAATTCACATAGTCGGGAAACAGTAACCACCATAAATGTTGAGGCCTTGAAATGTCTGAAGGTTAAATTTGTCCTCCTCAAATCTTTTGAAGAAAAGTGGCAATAGTCCGCCTGCTCCCTCTGCTGGTCATTAACATGTTACTTGTCTGTGTACTCTAGACAATTTACTCCTATCTTATCCCCATCGCTCTCTCTTCAGGGGAACTGTTATCTGCTTATTACAATCTCATGCTTAGCTGCTCATATGCCTCCTTTTGTCTTTCTCAGTCAATAAGCTAAAGGAAAATGCCCATTTCATCACAATACAAGGACCAAACCAAGCATATTGATTAGAAACAAAGTCATCCATATTATGGTAAAACATTAAACACCCCAGTAAATGCTTACCTTATCTCTGAATTAATACACCTCTAATACAATAAAATTCAAAGGTATTTATTTCTTGGAAATAGGTTCCAAATCTTCTCAAAGTCTGGTATCTAGCTCCCATTATAGTGATTGGTGATGTATCAGCAATGTTAAAAAAACTCACATTACTACTAATGATAAAAACAGAGGAATGTACTGATTATGTTCCATCAAATCATTTGCAACTCTTAGCAACAACACAAGATTTTCTCCACGATGATCTATCCCTAACCTGGTCTTTCATTCCACCACTGTAACTGAGTCCATCCATTTTGCTCCTGGTTGTCGTCTTCTTCTCTTCACTTCCTCCATGCCTAGCATGAGGGCCTTTTCCAGAGAGATAGATCTTTGCATAATAGGTCCAACTTAGAATAGTATGAACCTGGTAATGTGTGCCTCAAGTGAGAAGTCTGGATTGCTTTGTTTGCCGATCCATTGATTTTCTTGACTGTCTATGGTATTCTCCGGAATCTTCTTCAACACCAAAGTTTCAAAGTGTCAATGTGCTGCTTAATTACTCAGTTCTGTTATTGGTAGTATTTACTGGTACAGATTAAGTCTCTAGCCCTAAATAAAAAGAATCCGATCTTTCCCTTAAATTTTAGCTCTAAGGAGCTCCATGCTTCCCACCTACCAGGTTTCATTTTTAAGATGCTCACCTGACAACCAGAAATCTGTGTCCCTAACATCACAGTATAGAAAGAGTAAATTCATAGTAATTTGTTAAGTATATTCCCTTGCTGTCAGCTATAGAAAAGTGTATAAAATGAAGGGCTTGTGTGAATAATTTCAAGATACATTTGCTCTAAATATTTAATTTGACAAAATAACTCCACAATCTGATATGAAAACTTTTGTTGTATGATTAATAATCAATTCCAAACCCAAAGTTGGATAATTCTAACAAGCCTACAAAATCAAATTGTAAGCTGGATTCAACCTGAAATATTCTAAGAAAGCACTCAAATCTTTAGTCATAGAATTTGTACTTCCATTCAGATCTGACACAGGATGTGCAAATTCAATGGGTCCTATTTGAGTCTTCATCACCAGATTTCCTACTGAGCCGTTAAGCCTATGCTACATATCAATAATGTATAAATGTCATGCCCCCTCATTAAGAAAATCCTTTTATGCGACAATAAGCCAAATCGATACCTTCTATACTTTTATTGGGGAAAAAGGCATCTCTCCATAGCAAAAATGAAGGACGAGTAACAGATTACATTATTTCTCATCTTAATAGAGTAACTGAACAGCAGAATGTACATCCTGCACTGCATTGTTCGTATTTGAGATCAAAGTCACTTCCATGTAGCTAACAGGCCTTTAGGGAAGAACTCTTCAATGCAGATTTAGAATTGAGTATCTTATCCAACAAATATTTTAAAAAAATATTTAACAATCCACCAATCTGAAGCTTGAATAAATTCCCCCATGGACATGCTTCAGTCTTTGTTTCCAGTTATCTTGGTGCTGATCTAATGTGCTTTATTGTTGATGTGATATTTTTTTTAAAACCAATTGGGACTTGTGTTCTTCCTAAAAAAAATGGCTCCCATTTAGGAATGGATTCTTCTACTTTGGCCCAGTAAAGAGTCTGGAAAAAAATAAAAAATAAAACACAACATGCAATTTAACTGCTTCAAAATAAAACCTATTATTTATCAGCACAACAGGAAAACGATCTGAATATATGAAACATTATTACAGCTTGCTTTATGTTTGAAGTAATTTAGAGAAGGCCAAACTACTTAGTGGCTAAATCTTAAATCCCTCAATTATACAATATAATGGAGATTGGAAGGATCTCACTACTAGAGTAAATATGCAGTAATTGGATGTGCCCTCTTGTGGTGAATAATGTATTAGAAAGGTAATCCTTCAATTTCATAATTATTTCTTTGAGACAGATAGTTTCTTTTCTTAACCACGGTGTTATTCGCGAACATTTCCATTTTTAAAAACCTTGTCCAAAACATTATTCGGAGGCTAAAAATGGCTTGACATTTACATAAGCACAGCCATGAATTCTATTGGTTTAAAGAATGTTTTTGTTCTTTAATTCTGCAATGTCAAGGGAATAGAACAAACTCAGAAATCTGTTCGAGGTTCCATGAGGTTTGCTGGCATTAAAAACTGTGATATTCTGGGATCCACTGTTAAAATGCAGATCTTGATATTAAAGAATAGGTCCCATTGTCCAAAAAATTCAGACTTGCCCTACTATCCCCTGAATTAAGTTATTATTACCTTTTTAACCTCACTTTTTTTCTTCTTTCATTCTCAGAGGGCAATACAATAATCTCAGTTATATATAAATCTCAAAACCAGAGCATTGGCACTGGTGGAAAAGATCTTGCTTAATTCAGATTTCTGCTTAATAATTATTTGTGGAAGTAGCCCAAACAAATGTTCAATAGCCTAATGTTTTACCCAATAAATATTTCTTCCTTGAAGAATTACCCAAACCATCGGTCTCATCCTTCCTCTCTCAATAACTCGGTTTTTTAAAAAAATGTTTACCTGCATTCCCATTTCTAAACTGTCTCCATTGTCAATCATTCTGATTCCATTTTCTTCCTGTCCGTCATTGTTGCTCTCGTAGTTCTTGTGCAAAACCCACCCAATGTTTGCAGTTGTGAAAATGCTGATTCATCTTCAAATATTGCCTTTAGCTTTTGAAGTATTTAGAGCTGGGGGGGCGGGATGATGTCCCTCTACTCTCTATAGCTCTGAATTTCAGAGGAAACATGGAGCTGACCCATCTCTTTTTATTTATTTTTTATTCAGATTTTTAAAATCTCACCTTTATTGTTTTTATATATAACTCACAGCAGAAAACATATCTAATACTCCTTCCTCCTATTTTCCCCACAACAACTTCATGAAGTGGGTTGGGCTGAGAGAGAGTGATTGGCCCTGAATCAGCAAGCTGGCTTTCATGCCCAAGATGGGAGTAGAATTCATATTTTCCTGGTTTCTAGGCCAGCACTTTAGACCAAACTGGCTATGCTTAGTATGGTATGATTGAGTTTTAGCACTGTTTCTAAACTTGGAAATGTGGGAGAGGGCAGAGAATTGTACCACTTTCATATGATACTTTGGGACAATTTTGAGGACCTTCATGAGAGGCCAAAGCTGAAACAAATACTGTAGCCATTTTTCTATGGTACAAGTTTTTTTTTAAGAATGTCTTTTCTTTATTTTGGTGAAAAAAGTCCCAATACAGGTAGTCCTTGACTTATAACCATTCATTTAGCGACCATTTGAAGGTACAATGGCAATGAAAGAAGTGACTTACAATCAGTCCTCACACTTATGACTGTCACAGCATCCTTATGGTCAGGTGATCCAAATTTAGGCGCTTGGCGACTGGCGCGTAGTTAATGATTGCAGGGTCCCAGGGTCATGTGATCACCATTTGTGATCTTCCCAGCCGGCTTCTGACAAGCAAAGTCAATGGAGGACACCGAATTCTCTCAGTGACCCCATGATTCACTTAATAGCTGCAGTGATTTGCTTAACAACCATGGCAAAAAAGGTTATAAAATCAAGTGTGATTTGCTTAAGAATCTCCTTGCTAAGCAAGAACAATTCTGATCCCAATTGTGGTCATATGATGAGGACTACCTGTATATAAAATGAGGGAATGGAAAAACAGCTTGGAAGCTTTCAGTTCTCACAACGAAATGAACATTGTACTACATTACACTGAAATGATAGAATCAGATATTAAACTGAAACTGGATAACAGCCTTTATTTTGATAAAAGGGACCTTAAAGTATACTGAAGACACAATAATCATTGCATTTTTAAAGACTGATTTCATTTAACAGCAAGATGAAGAAAAGAGCGGAAAGATCAGCATTCAAGCCAAATACTTGAGAAATTGTTTTAGACTTACTTCAAGGTTAACAATTTCAGGGTGGAGAAGCAAGTGCTCTCTGGATTGTAGCTTTTTCGCTTCTGCCTCTATATCCTGCAACATACACAGAATCTTTTGAAAAGACTTCAGGAATTCATTTTTCTTTTTTGCAACTATGGAAATAGAAGTAATAATTCTAGCCATACAAGTTGTAACTAATATAAGTCACACCAGCAAACATAGACAAAAAGAGACAGACCTATGAATGGAATGGAATGGAATGGAATGGAATGGAATAGAATAGAATAGAATAGAATAGAATAGAATAGAATAGAATAACAGAGTTGAAAGGGACCTTGGAGGTCTTCTAGTCCAGGGCTTTTCAATCTGCGGTAGGCGTACCACTGGTGGTACTTTGGCAGCTGGCAGGTGGTACGCATACGATGGGTTGAAAAGCAATGTAAAAAGAAAAAGTGTAAAAAAAAAGTGTAAAAGTAGATGAGGTAAACCGGTGGCAGCGCCGCACAGGCCTGTGTGAGATTCACCTGGAGCTGCGTGCGGTTTTGCAGGGGCTCTCCTAAAAGCCCTGGATTGGCGCACGCAGTTCCAGCTGATCGGCGCTTCCAGCGCACCTGGAAGAGAAAAGGAGGAGGAGGGAGACAGAGGAGAGGATATAAAAGGAGGAGGGGAGATAGAGGAGAGGATATAAAAGGAAGAGCACCAAGGTAGTGGTGAATATTAATAAATATGGATAAATTCATCATACATTTGTCAGTGCAAAGGGAAAGTGATTCAGCAAAGGAACTGCCAATGAAGAAATTAAAACCGGTACTTTTTTCCTTTTTTTAATGATTTGTAACATTTTATTAGATTATACAATAAAATACAAAAATACAAAAGCAAATAGTATGACATAGTGGGAAGGAAAAAGGGAAAGAAAAGTGAGGGGGAGAAGGGGAAAAGAAAAGGCATTGACTTCCAACTTCCTCTGCTGCAGTAGAATGAAGCATTAACATCAAACTTCAACTTTTTACTTTTCAATAATAGAATAAACTAGCCACTTCTATAAAAACAACTCAATCTAATCAGTAAAACTCAAAATTCCCCCCTCCTCTTTTTTAGTCATCAGATTTTTGACATCTTGCTAAGCACTGATGGTACTTGAATATTGTCATATCCTAAAAGTGGTACAATCTGTGAAAAGTTTGAAAAGCCCTGTTCTAGTCCAGCCTCCTGCTCAGGTAGGAAACCCTATACCATTTCAGACAAATGGCTGTCCAGTCTCTTCTTAAAAACTTCCAGTGTTGGAGCATTCACAGCTTCTGGAGGCAGGTTGTTCCACTAATTAATTGTTCTGTCAAGAAATTTCTCCTTAGTTCTAGGTTGCTTCTCTCCTTGATTAGTTTCCACCCATTGCTTCTTGTCCTGCCTTCAGATGCTTTGGAGAATAGCTTGACTCCCTCTGCTTTGTGGCAGCCCCTGAGATATTGGAACACTGCTATCATGTCCCCCCTCGTCCTTCTCTTCATTAAACTAGACATACCCAATTCCAGCAGCCGTTCCTTATATGCTTTAGCCTCCAGTCCCCTAATCATCTTCGTTGCTGTTCTCTGCACTCTTTCTAGAGTCTCAACATTGTTTTACATCGTGGTGACCAAAACTGGATGCAGTATTCCAAGTGTGGCCTTACCAAGGCGTTATAATGTGGTATTAACACTTCACGTGATCTTGATTCTATCCCTCTGTTAATGCAGTTAGAACTGTGTGGGCTTTTTTGGCAGCTGCAGCACACTGCTGGCTCATATTTAAGTGATTGTCCACTAGGACTCCAAGATCCCTCTCACAGTTCCAAGTTGCTTACAAGCTAAAGAGGGAAAAAATTGGGTAAAATCCTCTCCTTCCTTGTTTATCAGCATGATATTTATTAGATCAGTTCCAAAGGCTTCCAGTAAGTTTCTAATTCTTTAACCCCCCCCCAATAATTTAGGACCAGTATATTTATTAAATGTATTAATTTATGAAGCATAGTGCTCTGTCTCTGTCATCAGTACAACTCTCAGCAGTTAATGTAGAAAAAGTTGAACGGATTGCTTCGTTTAAAATGAGCCTCTTCTGAAAATGGCAGACGTAAATAAAAAGCATGTGTTAATAGCTGCACCCCAGCTCTGCATAATGACAATATGGGATGTGCATTTTGTAATTTATTTTACATTGAGCTACACAGTGTTTTTAAATTTTCAATATATGTTTTAGCATAAATTTTCTGCAATAGGACATACCCCTTAATTATTTTATTAGATCTAGAGGCCCTTCAATTCCAATTAATTCTGGTGGCTTACACATTAAGAGTCACAAACAACAGAAGCAAAACAAAACAGAGCAACAAAAATGATGAAGTCTGGAATAACACAGCAACCGCCCTTCCTCTGGGCCTGGAGGCAAAGCCAAGTTTTCAAAGATAGAACACCTTCAAGATGGAAGCCCTACACCAGGGGTCTTCAAACTTGGCCCTTTTATGACTTGTGGACTTCAAGTCCCAGAATTCCTCAGCCAGGCATGCTGGCTGAGGAATTCTGGGAGTTGAAGCCCACAAGTCATAAAAGGGCCAAGTTTGAAGACCCTTGCCCTACACCATCCCATTCTGTGGGAGGATACTGTTCCAAAGGACATGCATTGCAACAGAGAAGGTGAGTCTCTGAGGTCTGATAGATGACATTTTTCAATTGAAGGGACCAGGAGCACTTCTATTCTGCCCAACTTTACAGAGACAGCAGAAACTATTTGAGATAATCGGTCTTTCAAATAACCAGGCCCTATGCCATGAAAGGTATTAATAGGTGATAACCTAAATTGCATTTGGAAGTCAAACTCAGTACAGGCAACCCAAAGATGGTGTTCTAGAAACCTCAGTTAGACCTGCCAATCAATCTTTATCTGCCAGCTAGCTCAAATATTCTTTACAGTGGCCTTTCCTGAAGTTCCAGCAAAGAGCAGGTCACCCTAAACAACACTGCTTTACAGCTGTTTGCAGATGTGATAAAGGCAGAGAAATAACATTAAAATGCCCTTATTGCCACAAGATAATCCCAATCATGTTCAACCAGATTTGTTCTTTATTTGCCTCCAATGGTGCTTCAAGGGCCTCTTCTGTCACTTCATCTCCCAGATGTCTATGGAGATCCTCAGTCATCCAGGTCATAGTTGTCCCAAAGATGCTTTTTCATGAGGCAACTGGACTTTCTTGTTTTTCCTTTGAAGACATTTTGATTCTCATCCAAGAAGCTTCTTAAACTCTGACAGGAAGATGGGGAAATGGAAGGATTTATACTCCTTGCAGACAGCTGGCCATTTGTATTCTTTTAGAGAGTCATTGAGGCCACCTGGAGGTTTATCTGTCACCTGAGTAGTGCAAATGGGTGTGGAGCCTTCTTGGAACTGTTGAAAGGACTGTATTATAGACTGGAGATAGATGATGTCGTATCCCTCCCCTCTATTGAGAGAAGGCTGTTCAATTTTGACATAGATGACCCCTCTTTCAAACCTTTCTGTCCAAAGCTTCATCTCCCTGAGTTCTTCGGAGGATCAAGGTGCCCCCAGGGGTTGTCACATTAGGAAGGCTAAATGAAAGCAACATGGTCTAAAGAACTCCACCACAAATTCATTCCAGGATGTGATTTAAGCTTTAGTTAAACTGCCCACCAGGTTTTGGGAACAGTCCCTTGCTCGGCGGGCAAATTGGTGGTGCATGCCATGGTATGACCTTGGTTCTGCTGGTGCCTGGGATGGTACAAAGTTTAATTTCGATTCCCCTTATGCTAGCCCCCTCTTTCTTATCCCACCCAGCAGCTCCCCCACCATTGCCTTTGGCAGGCTGACATCTTGCAAAGCAAAGCAATTTTACAGCAGGTATGACAATAATAAACAAAATAAGCTATTCCAGGGTGCCCAATCTATTGGAATCAGCACACCCATAGGAAATATTGAGAGCACATTACATGTATTCTCACAAAACACTTCTTATTACTCCCCACAAACCACCTGTAAGTAAGTAAACATTTACTTGAAACACAAGTCATAACATAAGACACAAAGCACATGGGTTGCCAAGGAATATCTCTCTCTCTCTCTCTCTCTCACACACACACACACACACACACACAAACAAAACAAAGCACAGGGCTACAGTCCCCTTTCATTTTTGCTTTCCGAAAATGTTGCTGAGATATATGTAGCATGAAAAGAATTCTTGGAACTAACTATTAGGCTAGAGGCTGGTCCTTTTAATTATTTCTTGAATTTACATGACACTAACCCCATAAAGATGCTTACAAGAAAATTAAAACGCCGTTGGCATAACATAAATATATACATAATTTACTAGCTTCCCACTTTAAAAAAAAGAGTATTTTTTTAAAAAAAATAAAAATCTGGTATTCCTATCTCAGTGATGGCGAACCTTTTAGAGACCGAGTGCCCAAACTGCAACCCAAAACCCACTTATGCATCGTCGGGTGCCGGGTGGGTGTGGCCCATTGGGTGGGCGTGGCTGCGGTGGTAACAGCAGACTGGGTGGGACTAAAAAGTTCAATCAATCAATTCCAACTTTGCAAGATCTTTTTTTTCCCCGCGAGAAGTTGAAATTGACTGATTGATTGAACTTTTTTTTTTTTTGTACACAGCGGCGGAGGCCTGAAGCGAAAAGGTTTTATAAAATCCAGCTGAAGGCCTAGGACTGGGGCGACGGCGCACGTGCCCACAGAGAGGGCTCTGAGTGCCGCCTCAGGCGCCCGTGCCATAGGTTCGCCACCACTGTCCTATCAAATCCCTGTTTCAACCTAGGTTTGCAGGCACCTTTACAATCTGAAACTAATTCCATTGAGAGGCTGCATGAAGAAGCACTTGCAATGTTTGTTGTCAAATTCTCTTCATCTTGTATCCTGTGTTTATGCTTTTGTTAAGAAATTTATTTTGTTTTGAATTCTTCTATAGGATAATTAAGTAATGATGCCTCCGCAACTGAGGGAGCATATAAGGCAATTAAATAAACAAACCGCCTCAGAAGAGTGAAAATATAAATGCTAAGAAATAAAATATCTACAGAAAATAAATGAGAG